CTATTCAAGGGAAGCGTGGACCCCCACACTTACAGTGCACAGCACCAACTTGCAAATTTAGTTACATAAGAGCTGAGATCTTAATTTGGCATTTAAGTCTGCTGCATTTGCTTTAGTCGTTTTCCTATGTCAAGAGCTGAGACCTTAATTTGGCATTTAAATCTGCTGCATTTGCTTTAGTCGTTTTCCTATTACTGTCATGAATAGTGTCTGTGCTCCTACATAATTAAGAGGCAGCATAATGCCTACTGAGTGTTTCTAATTTGCTAGGCTGCTTTTTCATGCAAGTGAAAAAAAAAAACACGTAACCAGACATCACCAAGCAGGATGCCACACACGCCGCTGGTGTTGTTAGCAATCTTTAATTTCTGCTTGGAGCAAAGACCTGAAATGATTAGCAAACTGCTTCCCTGTTCAGCTGTGAAGCACCTTCGGTAACCTCAACGCAAATTACACTTTGTCTTACACATTTCCAGTGCAGTATCAAGAAAAGACCAGTTGGCTGATTCAGCACACAAAGTTTCAAAACACCCTCTCCACCAAAATAGCCTACAAAGACGCAATGGACATCAAGTTAAAAAAACATGTACATGAAACCATATATATTCTCCCTATAGTATTCCAAAAAATTGCTTAAATCAAGGGATTTCCTTGCACTGGAAGATGAGTCCATACCCCCATGGTAAGAGACCACGAGTGTGGTCTAGGCTTCAGTTTTGAGACTGCACCATCCATAATGTGAGTTACAGACCCATGTCCTATGTGTCCCCTTTCACCCCATGAAGGTCATAGAATCATAGAATGGTTTGGGTTGGAAGGGACCTCAAAGATCATCCAGTTCCAACCCCCTGCCCTGGGCAGGGACACCTCTCACCAGACCAGGTTGCTCCAAGCCCCATCCAGCCTGGCCTTGAACCCCTCCAGGGATGGGGCAGCCACAGCTTCCCTGGGCAACCTGTTCCAGTGTCTCACCACCCTCAGAGTAAAAAATTTCTTCCTGAGATCTAATCTGAATCTTTTTTCTTCCAATTTAAAACCGTTTCCCCTTGTCCTATCATTACCCTTCCTGGCAAAGAGTCCCTGGCACTGTCCAGTGTCTACTGCTAGCACAGCCACTGCAGCAATTCCTGCTTCCCCAAATTAGAGAAAGAATGAACAGAATTAGAGAAAGAATGAACAGATTCTACACCCCAGTCCCGGGGCTGCTCTTTCTTTTCAGGTGGCTATACCAGTCTTCCCCAAGGACTCCACTCCTCATACAAATTCCCCCATGAGGCAGTCTCCTCTTCTTCTCCTTCCTGCTTGAACCTCTTTAATAAGCCATTCATTTTTATAAGAATCCTTTTTCTGTATCTTTCTTCACTCTTTTCCTTTTGTCCACCTCTTCTCCCTTCCCTCCACCCCCCCCTTTTTATTTTTTTTACTGTTTTCACCTAGAGTTAAGGCTTCACTAGTGCAGCTGCATTTAACTAATCATTTTGAATTCTGCAAGATGCTCTTGTCTACTGTGGACAGCTTACCAAACCAAGCCTTAAAAAAAAAGCCAGAACCAGGATGCTGACAATACTATAAAATCAGACCCTACACACAGACCCCATGTACACACCACCTCAAATAATTCACATATACTAAGTAGTAAAGCTAATGTATTTTTGCAGCAGTGATATTTTCCCTCAGTCTAGGAACAGAAAGCAGCTACTGCTGGGTGTTTATCTTTTGGCAAATGTTCATTCCCTTCAGTATCAAGCATCCTTCTTTTTATCTTCCCTGATAACAAGTACATTGTTTACAGCAAACATTTGCACAGCAGAATTTAGCTTGCACTGGAGGTCAGACTCTCGTAGATGTTTATTAACACTAAAAAAAGCTGAAGGGATGTACAGCAGGTAATTCTGGCTCTATTTTTCTCTGGTATGAAGCAAGCAATACAGAACTATATTCTTATATGCAAGGTTTGATGTTGCTCCCTGTAAAAGCCTACTTCCAGCTTCATTTGTTTTACCATAGATCTTCCAAGAAATGAAAGAAACCTGGCACCAGTCTAATTAGCACAGCTGTTTGGGGAAAACCCAGCTCTTGTGACTTGCACAACAGCCTGAGAAGCAGCTCCTGTCTGGAGTTGGAAACCCAGGGTTCACCAACAGAGGAAGCCAAGGGGGGTTGGACAAGATGACCTCCAAAAGTGCCTTCCAACCTCAACCAGTCTATGATTACTTTTGTAGGGAGATAAACTATATCAGGTGAAGGAAATGCTGCATGCTCAAGAAAAATAAAATAAGGAATTTATTCCCTACTCCCTGGTCAACAGGCAGATGTTCAGCTGCTTCCCTGCACACGTAACTTACTTGGTGAAGGCAATAACCTTCCCACCTTCCTCCTACTTTCCTTTAGCTTTTATTGCCAAGCACAACATCACACAGCATGGAATATCCCTTTGGTTGGTCCAGGTCAGATGTCCTGGCTGTGTCACCTCCCAATTCCTTGCCCATCACAGCCTACTTGCTGGTGGGGAGAAAGAAAGCCTCACCACTGTGCAAGCACTGCTCAGCAACAGCCAAAACACTGCTGTTCTGTTTTAATTGCATTAGTCACAAATCCAAAACACACCACCATAGAGGCTGCTGCCAAGAAAATGACCTCCATCTCCTCCAGACCCAGTACAGCAAGACAGGCATCATTCCCTTTTACATCCTTTACATGTTTGGGGCTTTTTTTTAAGCAAAGACAGTCTAGTTTTGCCATTACTTTTCTATTTAATCCCTGAACTTTCCAAATGAATACTGCTACCACAGGCTCTGAAAAAAATTCCAGCCCAGGATTAGTTTTTTTTTTTTTAACATTAGATATTTTGCCCTGATTTTCAAGATCACTCTGGCTGCAATAGAGATTCCCCTGCCTTTCAGTGCTTTTGTGCTGCAACTTTGGCAATTAGCCTATTCCTGAAGAATTACTCCTGCCATACATACCAGCAACAGCCACCTTCCTCACTTGATGGAGGTCCATTAACCTCATAGGGATGAGCTTTTAGTTCAGTGTTGGTCCTCAACTGCCCTTAGTAGCCCCACAGGCCATTATCTCCACTCAAACCAGGGCACATAGCCCTGGCCTGAGCTATAGCAAAGGTGTTTGCCCATCTCCAGTACCTCTCCTGGATGAGTACTTCTCCTGCCCATCTCCAGTACCTCTTGGACCCACCACTGTCTCTTTGTCCCCAGAGCAGGTCTCTCTGACCCCATCTCCTGCTGCTTCTAGCTTGACCCAATTCATCCCCTCACCTTGTCTAAGGCTGTTGGTTGCAGGACCACAGCCTGGGGTTGAGGGCACTGCCTCACTTGGGTCCCCCCTTGGCTTCTGGTTCATCCCCTGCTCCCACTACTCACTGACACAAGTTTTTCCAATCTCAGCATCCTTTAATTAGAGTTTCTGCAGTTTAGAATAGAGGAATTGCCTCAGATGTAAGTTTTTCCAATCTCAGCATCCTTCAGTTAGAGTTTCTTTCGTCTGAGCTGCAGTTTAGAATAGAGGAATTGCCTCAGACCATCCTAAATTAAACCCTTTTATTTGCCAGAGACAGTCATGCTTAGACTAAAGCATCATTTCCATCTGAGAAACCCCGGTCCCTGCTGCCACCATCTCCACACATGTTGTTCAGAGGCTGATGGGGCCAAAAGCTCAGGAAAGCTTCCTGAGGCACTCTTCCCAGGAAGGGTTTTAGCTCCTGAGGGGAGCATGGAGCATCACCGTGCCTTCATGAGACCATCTTCCAGGGTGACCTGCTGAACTCTCCGGCTCGCAGTGATCGATCTCACCTGACAGCCACCCCGGTGCAACCAGCCAATTAAATCCCCAGGGCAGAGCTTCTTCTGGCTAGGGTCAGCTGTGGGGCAACCTGCCAGCCTAGCAGGGATTTGCCTTAATATCCTCCCATCCTGCTAATGTGATGGTTGGGAAGCACGAGGGGACGTGCCGGGGACGGCTCCAATGGATTCAGTGCAAAGCCTGTCAGAGTACATCTGACAGCAGGCAACAAAAGAAGGGCCTTCAATCACCAGAGTGAAATAGAGCCCTCTTCACAGAATCACAGAATCTTCTAGGTTGGAAGGGACCTTCAAGATCATCTTGTCCAACCGTCAACCTCACTGACAAAAATAGACACCCACACAACAAACAAGGAGCATCATCACTAAACCAGACCTCCCAGCACTACATCAACCCGGCTTTTGAACACCTCCAGGGATGGGGCCTCAACCCCCTCCCTGGGCAGCCCATTCCAATGCCTGAGAACCCTTTCAGTGAAAAAATTTTTCCTAATATCCAGCCTGAACCTCCCCTGGCGCAACTTGAGGCCATTTCCTCTCGTCCTGTCGCCTGTGACTTGAGAGAAGAGACCGACCCCCACCTCTCTACACCCTCCTTTCAGGGAGTTGGAGAGAGCAAGAAGGTCTCCCCTCAGCCTCCTCTTCTCCAGGCTGAACACCCCCAGCTCCCTCAGCCTCTCCTCATAAGACTTGTTCTCCAGACCCCTCACCATCTTTGTCGCCCTTCTCTGGACCCGCTCCAGCACCTCCATGTCTTTTTTATGGTAGGGGGCCCAAAACTGGACACAGTACTCACAGTACTCTTCAATGTGATTTCTTCAGCCTCCCCCAGATCTCATTATGATAGCTTTTTAACTATAAACCCAGCTATACACCCCCTCCTCCTCCAGCAGGCTGACTTCTCTACGCTACAGACCCAATCTGAGCAAAATTAAATTCCATCGGAGTAAAAATAGCCACACAAAACTACCCTCCTGCAGTAAAACAGCATCACCATTCAGTATGTCCAGCCCAGTTCTGACAGCAGCTTTGTCTTCTGGATAAACAAGCATCCTAACAAATGTATACAGGCATGTACATCTGAAGCAAGGCCACGGTGCAGCGCTCACCCCTGGGACGGGGATGAAAAGAGCAAACAGCGTGTGACAGATGTTACTCACGTCACCCAACACGTTGCTGGGGTGGTGCTGGGATACTGCAGGGGCAAGCACAGTCCCCAGGAATGCACCAAACAAGCAGTTCTTGCTGTTTTCTTTCCATCTCCTTCCCACGCTGCAGAAAAGACATCAGGATATCTCCAGGACTGGAACGGTTCCCTGCAGGAAAAACGGGACAGGATCAGGTACTTAGCTGGCCAAGCAATTACAGTGATCCCCCAAAGCCAAATTGTACCTTCAGCCACTGCATTTAGACACCAAATGTTCAACGAGGTAATTAGGACTCAATCTTTTACATTACAGGGAAAACAATCCCCCCTCCCCTGTCAAGCTTCCTCAGCCAAACATGCCTGAACTGTGTCCAGTTTTAGGCCCCCTACCATAAAAAAGACATTGAGGGGCTGGAGCGGGTCCAGAGAAGGGTGACAAAGATGGTGAGGGGTCTGGAGCACAAGTCTTATGAGGAGAGGCTGAGGGAGCTGGGGGTGTTCAGCCTGGAGAAGAGGAGGCTGAGGGGAGACCTTATTGCTCTCTCCAACTCCCTGAAAGGAGGGTGTAGAGAGGTGGGGGTCGGTCTCTTCTCTCAAGTCACAGGCGACAGGACGAGAGGAAATGGCCTCAAGTTGCACCAGGGGAGGTTCAGGCTGGATATTAGGAAAAATTTTTTCACTGAAAGGGTTCTCAGGCATTGGAATGGGCTGCCCAGGGAGGTGGTTGAGGCCCCATCCCTGGAGGTGTTCAAAAGCCGGGTTGATGTAGTGCTGGGAGGTCTGGTTTAGTGATGATGCTCCTTGTTTGTTGTGTGGGTGTCTATTTTTGTCAGTGAGGTTGACGGTTGGACAAGATGATCTTGAAGGTCCCTTCCAACCTAGAAGATTCTGTGATTCTGTGAACTCTTAATTATGGTTTGAAAGTGCAGAGGGCAGGGGTTTAGATACTCCTCCTCAGGCTCTGAAGTGATGGCATACCTTTTTTCACCATTAAGTGTCTACATTTCCAAACAAATCCAGCGCAGAGCTGGGGAGCCTGCCCTTTTAAGCCTTTCCCCTGTAGTCAAAGAGATGAATCAAAGGCCATTAGCACCTCGGTTTAACAAAGCCCAACTACAAATGGGCTGACAACGTTGCTGTCAGCAGACCCATCACAGTTAAGAGTGGAGGAAGCAAGTCTATTTTTGTGAACTACAGCAACATACTCCAGATAGGCTCGAGTGAGGAAGATAAAAAGGATTGCAGCTTAAGGCAAACTCCAGCTAGAGTGCAGCCTGGTACTCCCTGTGCTGCTCCAACCATGGCTCTGTCTCAAAGATGTTGCATTTGCACGGATGATCTCTTGCCTACTTTGGAAACGCTAAGAGTTTTAACGTTATTCCAATCATAAATGCAGCTTTCAAAAAAAGATGCTCTTAAGCCCAGATTTGGCACCAGCTGAGTGCCTGTAGAAAGGGGAATTTAAAACTGTGTTGTTAGAATCATAGAATTGTCTGGGTTGGAAGGGACTTTTAAGATCACCAAGTTCGACCATCAACCTAACTCTGATAAAAAAAACAAACAAACAACAACAACAAAAATTAACAACCCATCACTAAACCATGTCTCTAAGTACTATGTCAACCCATCTTTTAAATACCTCCAGGGATGGTGCCTCAACCACTTCCCTGGGCAGCTCATTCCAAGGCTTAATAGCCCTTTCAGTGTAAAAATTGTTCCTAATCTCCAACCTGAACCTCCCCTGGTGCAACTCGAGGCCATTTCCTCTTGTCCTATCTCCTGTGACTTGGGAGAAGAGACCGACCCCCCCCTGGCTACACCCTCCTTTCAGCGAGTTGTAGAGAGCAATAAGGTCTCCCCTCAGTCTCCTCTTCTCCAGGCTGAACACCCCCAGTTCCCTCAGCCTCTCCTCACAAGACTTGTTCTCCAGACCCTTCACCAGCTCCATTGCTCTTCTCTGGACCTGCTCCAGTACCTCAATGCTTTTTTTTTTGTGGTGAGGGCCCCAAAACTGGACACAGCCCTCGAGTTAGCCATCCTTCCAGAGAGCTTCCTCCACAGGACAGGACACAGCACACTCCATTGGCACCTCAGAAGCCCAGGCCCCTCCAGATGCATCAAATCTGCCATTTGATTTCTACCTTACTACCTGGCAAGTCATTGGCCTCCTCCTCTTAACTTCCTCAGTATCTTAGACTCAACTGACAACAGCCTACAACCATGGAGTACTTGCACTTTCCTGGGATTCTGAAGCTTCCTGTGTCATTTACCTCACCAAAGTTAAGAAGCAGAGGATGTTTGCTCACGTACCATCACACCCCAGCACCAGGCAGGCCCGAATTCCTCATCCAGATCAGTCTGTGCTTGTTCTTACCTTGTTTGCTTCACACAGTTGCCATTATCTTTGTTTTCCTTCGCTGAGTCCCTGCTATTTTAGCCAGTCTTTTCAATACTTTTTGGTTAAACTGTCTCACATGTCTGCTTTGAGGAGGAGCAAGTCATCATCACCTATGCCAACATGCCTACTGCTTGAATGAACCTGCCAATGAAGCATTGCCAGAAGCTACTTCCAAAAGGTCTTTTCTTCTCCACCGAGATCAATCTAAGCTTTCTGGTCCAGAATAATTCCCACCTAGAAAAATGCTTACCTTCTAGGTCCCAAATCCTGAGTCAAGGCTGTTCAACTAGTCCTGAAAGAGAACTAACCCCTTTGTGTCTTCACCTGGATTGCCTCCAGTATCCCCTTGTGATATAACATCAGAGTTATCTCCCAGATAGGCTTCCTTTGCTTCCCTTACGCTCTGTCTTCCTTGGAAATCCAATTACATTTTTCCTTTTAAATGGCATGAACACCAAATAAAAGCCACAACAAATCTGTACAAGAAACACTTGGAAATCTTTCTAATCTGTGGGGTTTTTTTGCCTTTTGGAGGACGTGCTCAGCAGATTGCTAGATGTCTCACCAGACACACACCACCCTGGCCAAACAGCTCAGCTGATCTAGTTGGCAGCAGGATCTCCCTTCTCACAGTTTTCCAGGACTGAAATATCCATATTTCCATATTTCCATATATCCATATATCCATATTTCATTACTGTACAGTTTTTTGATGGCATAGCCTTCCAGCTGCTTAGGATCCACACTGCAAGGAAGGCACTCACAGGGGCATCGACTGAGAGAACTTCCTTTGTCCAGAGTTTTTTTGGACAGTCTGGAATAAGCCACAAGGATCATACTCCCTACAGCTGCAAATGTACAGCTCTAAGTGAAGTGAAGCTTCTACAGAAGCTCTGCCTCCGCAGGCAGGAGTAAAAACATTTCAAGTCCCTTTCACTTCAGCATGTTTAAGCTTCCTGCTTCAACTATTAAACATTTACACTCATTAAGAGACAGGAATCATGCACACGTGCAGAACAGCAAGCTCCCCAGCATTTCAGCCAGGAGCTCAAAAAGCAGCTCACATGAAAGAACAAGACCAAACAGCAGAGAGCGTGGAAAGATGGATGTGGGTCATCACATTTCATCACTCTCAAAGTAATTAAAAACTACAACAAGACAGCAGAGCAGTGCCCCAATTCTCCCAGAACAGCACTGACCTACACACATCTGCACAGCACAAGTGAAAAAAGTCCCTTACCTCTTCATTTAAAGGATGGGAAACTCATGAGGAAGGGAGTTTAACAGCATCTTAGAAAGGAAAACCACTCTGGAAGAGAGCAATCCCAGGCAGATGAAAGAGTTTGGCATGCTTGTCGTATCCGTGTGCTCTGGCTGAAGCATGAAGTGAAACTCAGTCTCTCCTCCTACAGAAAAATACATTAAGACCAATAGTTAATTCACATTTAAAAAAAAAAATCCACCTTAAATCCCAGGAACTGAGTTAATGGACAGAGGCTACAACAGATCCAAAGCTATTGCCTATGCTGAAGTACAACAAACTCCATTGTGTGTGATCAGTGCTGATCACACTGCTTTTTAGTTGCTTTTTTAAATTATTTTTAAAAACTTTTTTTTACTTTTTTTTTCTCTAGGCACATATTAGTGTCACACTGAATACTATATATATATATTATATAATATCTGCAGGCTAAAGGACTGTATCCAATGTATATCAGGGAAAGAAGGTAAGCAACTGTGGTGTGAAGGGTTTTTTTTTTTTCAGCTGTGCTGAAACATGAATGTGTAAGAACCAAAGTAGCATCTGCTTTTCATGTCTAAAAGCAGATTAAAAGGCTCTTTTTCCCCTCGGGCTTGGGCATAGCACTACTCAGAGCCCAGTCCCCCCACCTCCTTTATTACCCATTAGTGCCTGTAAAAGAAAAAATGCTCAGCTTGGCTACAATTATTTATAACAATTCAGGCCTATTGGAGATAAAAAAAGAGGATTTATCCCTGCCTGGGCATAGAGGTTAAGTGATATAGTACTGAGCCCTACTCAAAACGTATCTGACACAGGGCTTAAAATATTTCTTAGTAAGGAGCTCCAAATCTGAGCTGTGCCAGCATTGTCAAAATCCTCCTAAAGCAGCTGGTCCTCAGTAGCAGCCAGTCTGGAGATCTACCAGAGGGACAAAAAGGTGACTCAGAAAGGAATTTCACATACACTGGGCTGCAGAAGTACTTCTGTCTAACTTGGCCCAGATGTTGTCAACACAAAATCTGTTCCAATATTAGATGTATGTTTAAATCCTCAAGGAACACTCTACTGGAAGATGAGGGCTAAGGCATACTGGGTTAGTCAGTGCCCTTTCCTCTGCCACCAGAGGTGTAAGCTCCCCTGTCCACCTCCCTTGGCTCTACTGTAAGTATTGTGACCTCAAACTCAACATATAAACATTGAGATGAGAATATTCACACCTCATCAGAGCTGGCTTCCTCCTCCAACACACCCCACTCCCACTGCAGTTGCCCGTTGTAGCTGTTCACCAACCTAGGTCTTATGAGAAGACCTTATGGAGAAAACGTCCCCAAAATCCCCAAAGACCATGCACTCACAACGAACCATTGGGGTCTAAACATGAGGAGGAACTTCTTTACTTTGAGGGTGGCAGAGCCCTGGCAGAGGCTGCCCAGGGAGGTGGTGGAGTCTCCTTCTCTGGAGACATTCAAACCCACCTGGACACGTTCCTGTGGGACCTGCTTTGGCAGGGGGTTGGACTAGATGATCTCCAGAGGTCCCTTCCCACCCCATATCATTCTCTGATTCACAAACTGGTGGCCACAAGTTAAACTGAAGAACCCATACAGCTTACAAAAAACCAAAAAAGCACAAAATAATCAAATAATTACATCCTGACAGGGAAAGCTGATATAGTTTAGTCCTGTTTTTGCTGCTGAACAATGAGAGCCTCAGCCTTTCCTGCTGATCTGATGATTCTGATTTAAAATCCAACTGAATTAATACAATTCTAATGAGACAGACTCTATGAAGTTTGGTCAATACCTGCAACTTGTATTTAAATAAAACACTCCTATCAGTTTATCCAAACAGCTTGTTCTAAAACAATTCAAAAAGTTCAAATCCAACTTGTTCAAGCCAATACAAACTGGTGGCCACAAGTTAAACTGAAGAACCCATACAGCTTACAAAAAACCAAAAAAGCACAAAATAATCAAATAATTACATCCTGACAGGGAAAGCTGATATAGTTTAGTCCTGTTTTTGCTGCTGAACAATGAGAGCCTCAGCCTTTCCTGCTGATCTGATGATTCTGATTTAAAATCCAACTGAATTAATACAATTCTAATGAGACAGACTCTATGAAGTTTGGTCAATACCTGCAACTTGTACTTAAATAAAACACTCCTATCAGTTTATCCAAACAGCTTGTTCTAAAACAATTCAAAAAGTTCAAATCCAACTTGTTCAAGCCAATTAACTGATTTGCCCATTATCACACTGTCAGCTGAGCTATATTATATTGGCTATTGAAAAGAAAACTACTTGTTGGCTGTCATTTGGGGTGTAGCACAAGGGAACAGTTTCTCTTGTTAGGTTTACGCTGCTCATTGCAGAGTTATGGGATGTAGCACTAATGGTGCAAAGGGGGGATGTAGCACTAATGGTGCAAAGGGCTGCTCAGAGCCTACAGAACAGGACCCCATGAGATGGTCCTGCTTGAGAAGGTCTCCCTTCAAACCCCTGGCCAAGTACCAGCCTAATCCAGAAGTCCAATAACTGCATGCTGTGCAATTCAATTAAAATACAGCTATTTTTGCTGAAAAATCCTATATATCAGGTCATAAAATCTGTAGATTTATTTTTTTGGGTTTTCTTATAAATCATTTACCTAGATATACAGCCTAAGGATAACACTTGGTTAAAGGATCTATTTTGAGTTAGTCTCTCTCATTCTCAGGTAAAGGAAAAATAGTGTTTCCAGAAGCCTAATTGAGCTGCATTAACCTCAAACTCTGAGCTGCTTCAGATCACTATTTGTCTGCAGGCACATCATCAACAAAGAGTTATCATCAAGATTTTTGTTTCCTGTCAGCCTGAAAAAAAGCCCTGCTCAGCTGAACTAGATTGCCAGTGCTTCCCAGGAAGGTCTAAACTAATTATTTTTGAAGGCAAGAGGAAACAAACAACGAAACTACCATATTTTAGTGTCTTAATTCACACGCATCCTGCTTCAAAACCAACTCACCTCCAGGGAGCAGATCCCTGTGAATGTGGCAAGACCTAATTTTCAAATTGACTCCATCAGCAGCTTCTGTTCTGAGCTCAGAAAACAGAAACCCCTTTGCAGCCAAACAGCTGAGATCTTTCAGTATTTCCATGATTTCTGAATAAAACTTGCAGCCCCCTTGGCTGGCTGCCACCTGAATTGCAAATAACTGGAAGAGGGGGGAGCAATATAAAAAAATCCAGCTTTATGTTTCAAAGGTCTACAACTCGAACTCCCACTGAAGGCTTAAAAAAATTGATTCAGCTGCACGTGACCTATTTGGCATATTTAGTTTCAATATTTGAGACTGGAAAGGAGATGGCATCAGAGCTGATAGAAACACACGCGTCCCAAATATCAAGGGGCAATCTTTGGATGGTTTAATATTTGAGACTGGATGATTTAAGGGGATGGTATCAGAGCTGATAGAAACACACGTGTCCCAAATATCAAGGGGCAATCTTTGGATGCTCAAATCAAAGTTTATTTTCTAGACAGTATTTTATAGCTAGCAATTGGAGTAGAAGCAAGGCCAGGTTGTTCTCTCTGTCTGAATCTCCCATAGGAAGAGCTGATGCAGATGCCAAAGGAGATGTGGGCCAAATCCCTCCCCTCTGCACTTTCTGGGACCGTGACCATACAGTAAAAAAATTCTATAGCCCAAAGTACCACAAAAGTTAGGTTTTGAAGAGCAGCCTCTTTGCTGCAGAGATGCAGCCAGACAAATCCATCGTGAGCATCACAGAGCATGCACCAGGAAATAGAGACATGACTCTGAAAGGGGCTCTTCACCCCACAGGTAGGTAATAATACAAACACAGATGTGGAAAAGTCACTCCAGACCAATATGAAACAATTAGGGAGGACTAATTTGCATCTCCATTGCAAATAGGACACCCAAGATAACCAAGCCACTCCTATTTATCTGCTGTCAAATTCCACATCAAGCCTTCTTGCCCCTGATGGTTTCACTGTGAAGCAACCACAGTGAGTTTCCAAGAGTTAGATACTTCAGGCATGCCATATTGGACCACCATCACCTTCCTAAAAGGATATTGTTGGAACTTTCAGATCCTAAGAAAGCAAGTCTTGTGACTTGAAAGCAACCTTGTGACTGTGGAGACACAACTGCATCATTTATCATACAGAAGACACACAAGAATAAATTCAGAAGGTCAGAAAGGTGCAGTTCTGGAGTTGCATACACTGCTATAAACCACAGCAACCAGAAAGTGCAACATCATGCAATTAAGATGATTGAGGTAAAAAAAGCTCTAGCTTAATAAGTTCACATCAACATTTACAAATATTTACAGATTATGTGGAAAGTTCATTGAAATAACCTGTACGAGTGGATCTGAGAAAGCTTGATACTTGTATTGGAGGCGGGGGGTTAAATCATAATGAACAGCAGGATGCAAGGATCAAAATAAGCACATATATAAAGCCAACAACTGTTTCTTTCTTGCTCCTCTCATCTTTATTTTTATTTCTGTGACAGAAGATTGACATCACACTGTAAACAGGAGATCAGTGCTACTAACAGAGCACCCCAGGCCAGAGTCTTGTTTAAGGACAGCTGACCAGAACAGACAAATCCCTGCCATCACACTCATCTCTGAAGATATTACTTTCCACAGCATAGTAGTTGCTACAGCAAACATGTTTTGGGTGTGTGTGTGCTATTTAAACAAAATACTCAGTTTCTAGAGGGAACAGACACGTGATTATTTGGAAAATGCTATCTACCCCCTCTTCCCACCAGTTTCATCTCTGTGTGAAAACACCCTTTTTCATCAACTGGAGCCCACCACTAAGACTTCTTGACACTGGAGCTGAATGGATCATCTCATATCCAATAGCTGCTATTTTCTGCCACTCCTACACAAACTGACATAATCACAGCCCAGAAAACAGGCACAGAATCCATGACCACCCCACTGCTGGCAGAACATCCAGTCTGCAAAGATACAGAGATGGCTGGAGAAGAGATGATCACTTCTCAGCTAGAAGTATATCAAACTAGAGTGCAAGTACAAGCTCCAAGTGCTCTTTGCCTTAAAGATGTCACTTTAGTCACTTATGCTATGCAGCCATAATTAATTGTGGCCAGTGCAGATGCCAGTGAGTGTATA